AGATTTGCATCATCAGTACATGACCTCACTATTGATTCATATTGATTCATAGCCATGTAATTCCATAGATCCTTAGATTATCCTGAAATTAACAGAGACTGCAGAAACTATGCACCAGTCTAGAAGAGATAAAGAAAATATATTTCTCATAAATATTTAAATGTATTATTGTTAAAATTGATTTTTCTTGTATATATGGAATAACAGACACACATTCTATGCTTTATTAATTGCAAGTACATTACACAAAATACAGTTTATTCATTTTAAAAAGAGTGTTTTCATTTGTAATTGTTGAAAATAAAATGGCAAAAATCGGCAGTTTCTTTAACTAAGATTTACAGGTCTAGATTGGAATTTTTAATTGCTTAGATGTTTAACTTCTACAATTGTGTTCCATCTGTCTATGTTCTTATAACACCTGACAAACCAGGCTTTATTGCAGAGCTGCCAACATTCATTATTTGTTATTGGATCTGACAGCTCGAAGGTTAAAGTGTAGACTTAATAACAGTTTAACACTTAGCACACTGCTAATTAAGCAGTGGAAAGTCCAGTACCTAATGAAAGCTTTAAACAAAAGATGCCTTTCCATGCCCATCACGTTGTTGTAATAGAGAATGAAAGCAAAACGAGAATGTCAGAGTTTACATTTGACTGAGTAGGAGGCATTTTGATTGCATGATATTTCGGTAGCAGCTGTTAGAATTGCAAGTTATTGAAATAGTATTTTTTCCAAATATGCTCGCAATTCGAATTTTTGGTTTACTTGGTCGGAGTAAGACCAATGATTTCATTCTAAAACATAAACAATTTGACTTAATAGAAATAAATTCAACCTAATAAACGTATATCCTTTTGCCACTTGTTACAAAAGATTGCTAATTTAGTGCAGTGAAGAGAATTGTCTATTCCCAGGATGCGTATATAATGTTATCATGGATTGTGGCAGACAATGCCACGCAGTAGCTTGACTCTATCTGATGCTCTGGTTTCACATTCTGACCTTGAGTCTCTGGATTTCCAGAGATTTGAAATAAGTAAAAACATTGTTTTTACTGTTGGCAAATAAAACAGATGAGTTTCCCATGAAGGACAAGAGGTCTGCCCAAACATAAGATCTAGATCTGTTGTCTCATTTAAGAAGAACTAGAAAAATGATTGATGGTTAGGGACAGCTAATACGTGGTGATTTTATTGACAGATCAAGTGACAACTGACCAAAAAGGGGGAGATAAAAAAACAGTCTATACTTCCAAGTAGGATTTTCGTAGATACTAAGACTGCAGCTACTGAGGGAGATCTACTAGCAGGGAAACCGTGTGTTTTATTCTTGCTGAGCCTGTGTGGAAATGGGACATTGATTTTTAGTGTGAAACTATGTTTATCTTTTGCGTTATCTAACTACCAGCTACTGCCATGGGCACTTGCTATAGTGCTATGTTTAGGTAGGAGATTGGGTTATTTTGTGGTTGACTATAGTGTAAGATTAGGTTATCATTGCCAACACATAGTTGTTGTTGTTTATATGAATGTATTGTTCACTTTTTGGTGGAAGAAAATCCTTCTTTTGGGGAGTGAGCTATGGTGCTGTTACAAAAAAAGTTCTCTTGACTAGCCTGGTTCCTTGATTATAGTTTATGACTTGGACTTTGGTTGTAGCTTTATATAGCCAGGTAACTATTACTGCCTGGGTCACTTGAAACTACTTGAGAGATGGGAGACAGGAGATTAGCAATATTTAATTGTTCCTACTGTGAGGCTAGGTTACCAATATACAGTAGTTAACTGTTTGGAGAGAGAAAATCCCATTTTATTTCTGAGTGTGTTCAGTCCAATATGTGCACTGCAAGTGTGTTTAATACTGCCTTAATTCCATGTGCTGTGAGTTGGAGGTATGCTGTTAATGAGAAATATATAGGTTTTCATGTCCCATACTGCACGTAATGATTACCCATACCAATATCCATGCATTGTAAGGGGTACCAAGATAATCTGATATAGAAAGTACACGTATGAATCACTTACAAACAGTTTCATGACGTATACCGCAAAAAATATATTCCACCGGACATGGTATGCCAGTAAAGTGCTCAGTGAACTATTCTCAAAACACACACCACTATCATTATCATCATGTTTATCAACATATATCCTTAGTCAGCCTCTATACAAGGCTTATGTAATCTAGCCATCATTGATAATATATGTATGAATCTATTCATTTACTGAATATTTCTGAGTAGGTGTTATAGCAAAGATTGAAAACAAAGTATTTCACATTTGGGGCAGGGGTAGGCAACCTTTGGTACTCCAGATGTTGTGGACTGCATCACCCATAATGCTCTTAGAGTCATAATACTGACAAAGCATCATGAAAGGTGTAGTCTATCTTGAGTTCCGAAGGTTGCCTATCCCTATTTTAGGGATTAATATCACATGGCCCTACTGTACCACATTGTTTTTAATACAATACATTAATACATCCCTTATATGATTACTAGAGATTGTACTACACACATATTAGAAGGTAAAATCATATTACATTAAGTTTAAAAAAAGGAAGCAGAGTATGTAGATAAGTGATAGAGAGAGAAAGAGAAACTGAACAATGCATATGATGATTTGGTATTTGATAATTTCACTCATGACTACACAAGAATTGAAACAACAAATACCATATTCTGATGTAAAAAAAAAGAAGGTAAAATCATATTAAAAAGTGTCAAACAATTAAAGTATGCCAATGTTTCTTCAGCTTTCTAACTCCTGTACCATATACACCTGGCTACAGAAAGGGTGATATAACCTGAAATCTATTATTTATTTATTTTTTTTAAATCACAGAACTAGTAAGTAGATTGGACAAGGATAAAGTTTTTAAATACAGTAAATAAATCATAAAGTGAGTTTATGTAAAAACAAATTCTGTTGGGTTTGTTTTAATATTATTACTTCTACTTTTCTACTCATAAGGTAAGGTTATATTTTGAAATATAAATTAAATTTGTCTGGTTGAACATAATGAATCACAGTACAAACGGTTATATGTACACCTGGTTCCAGACGACAGACAAAATATATCACAGCTAGAAATTAATTTGGCAAGTGAAGGCAAATCTACCTAAGCTTAATGCATAAATCATTAGAAGGTGCAAGCTGTCTGAGTACAAATGACCGCACAGCACAGGAATGCACTTTTCTCAGTATAAGCCATTCAACACTCCTAACAGTCTTCTCACTAGATACATCTCTAGTTACCTCAATGTTCAGGTATAGACCGCCAAAACTGACGCTAATCTCTTTTGTACTAACTCAGAAAGTAAAATAATACATTGTATTAAAAAAATCATTTTTTTGTCTGATGTTATATGATGTAATTATATACAGTTAATCATGATGACTTTTTTTTAATAAAACTTCTCGTGTGTGGCTTAAATAGTTTATTGCTGGTATATATATATTTAGATTTGGTCAAAGCAGGTTGCCCATCTCAAGGCATTCCTGGCATTTTGGTAAATTTTAAGAGATCAATTTTAACATTCAAGCGTTGACATGCTTCTCTAGCTTAACTGATGTTATATTTAGTTAATTACAGAGCTGGGAGATTGGAGCTGGTATGTCCAATCTGTTACTCTCCAAGTTGAAAATGTAATTTTGTTTTTATTATGTCTTTATTCTTTTATTTTTACTGTCGCCAAGCCTTTTAGAGATTAATCCAAATTTTCTTTACTCTTTTACAGGTGTTCGTCGACTGATTTGAATCATTTACAGAATAATTCAATAAATATGCAACCGCGCTCAAGAGAATCACAATCCTATTTTAATAACACATCTCAAAAGGACTCAGCCAGTTATTCAACATCTAGAGCCAACTCTATCCCAATCATACCCTCAGTGGGGCTAGATGATGCCTGCATGCAAATGCATAGCGTTACTGAAATATCAGGCATCAAAAGGTGTAAAAACTCTTATTCCAATGAACTTGTCAAGGTGAATATTCCACCTAGCAACTGTCTTATAGCAGAGCAACAGGAAGTTAAAATTTTGCTTGAAACTGTGCAGGAGCAAATACGAATTTTGACTGATGCAAGAAGAAGATCAGAGGACTTAGAAATGGCAAGCGCAGAGACCGAGGATTGTGCCAGTGAAAATACTGCGTTCCTACCCCTGAGCCCAAAAGCAAAAACTGAACAGCAGGCACAATTTGTCTTAAGAAATGAAATTCAAAGGGACTCAGCACTTCATGTGTGAATTTTGAAATGACTGGACCATTTTGTCTGATGCCTAACATATCAGAAACTGGAAAAAAAAGAGATAAAAGCAAACAAATTATTTATATGCATTTATTTAAGAGCATCTACATAGAAGAAACCAAATAGTCTATCGCCCTCATACCATAGTGTTTTCTAAACAAAATATTTTTTTAAGGGAAAGAAGAGGTTTGCAGAGAGACAAAGCATAGCTAATGCATTGAAGTCTTTAAATTTATTCTATGATGATCTTTAACTGGTTTGTCTGCTGTAGGGCTTTTAATGCATTGAGTACAAATGCTATAAAACTTCCTGCAGTAGCATAGAGGTTAAGTAACCACAGGGGTACATGATCTTTCCTCAAAAAGGGCCAAAAGTATCACCATTCGGAAACCATAATTGTATTTTTGTTATATGATTTTGTTGACAATGAAAGTAAAATGCCACAACTATCCCAATGAAACAATAACAATGATGACGTGTGTTACATTTTCCTGTGTTACTTTCTGTGTTTTACTTATTACACGTACAAATCACACACACGTGTGCTGTAGAACGTTTACTTTCTCAAAAGGATGACTGACTTACTTGCTCTTCTCTATCTATAAGACCTCTACCTTGGATGCATCCTGTGGTGTATTATCCCCAAAATGCAAGCAGACACAGAATATAAGTGCTTCACCGTTCAATAAAATATTGGTTTACAGTTTATCTACAACAAAAAAAAATATAAAAAAAAATAACGTGTGTATATTCAAAGTAAAAAACAAAACAAAACAAATCCTCTATTATAATATTGAAGTAAACATTCTTGAAAACAGTTTAGTATATTCAAAAAAATAACTTGTGGTAAAATCACAATGTACCTTAACCCAGCTCTGCTAATTCGATCTAAATGTTGAACATTATTTCTCAAGTTACCGCAGCTCATTTATTAAAAAGACACTAATATTTTTAAATAAACCTCTACGGCTGATTAATGGTTTTGGGAATTGCATAAAATTGTGGTACCTCCAAGTCAAGTGATCTTAAAAAAAATAAAAAATAAAATATTTTAGTTGGACTTAATTTTGTCCATGTAGCATTTCAGTTTGGACGAATTTCCCATGTAATCATTTTAGGAAGAATTATTTGTACTGAAATGGCACAGATATGCACCTATTAGTGTTTTATTATCAATACTGGCATTTATAAAGTGACGATATATGCAGAACTGTACACTTGGGAAAAACATAGTACAGACCAATACAAAGAGTAAAAAGGGCCCTGACGCCAGCTGAAATCTAGCCAATGAAGCTCTTTTATACAAACCACGTTGCTAGAAAGCCCATGAGCTTACAATCTAAAGGTGGAAGGGATAATTTAGAGGTGATTTCCAGTGCAAATTAAACTCATAATGGCAGCCACTAGTAACATGAAAAAGGAATAATTGAGTGTGCTGTCACACAGATGGTAAAGCATGCTGTAATGTTAGATGGAACCAGGATGGGTATTTTTTGCTGAAAATGAAGCGTCTTTCTTTCTGTTAGCTGGTGTGTAGAATTTGGTTTAAGGAATTCAGACACAGTTATTTTAAGAAATTAACTGCTAGGAAGGGCAAGGAATGGAGGGGGTTAGTAATAATGAAAAACTGCATGTACAGAAAACTACAAGTCTAAACTATAACATTGTTATAGGAAAAAAAAGAAGAAATGGTAGCAGAGGTAGAAAAAAAATCAGGTGGAAAATCTTGAAAGTTGCAGGTGGCAATCAAGTGGCTTTGTTTCTGTTAGGTGGTGTGTGGAATAAGGCCTGAAAACAGTGTATTTCAATAAAACAATCCACTTCTCCATTTCCTCTCTCTTTCTGGCACCATGGCTGGAGGTCTGAATCATGAAATGGACAAAACATTGTGTCTATTGCCCATTTCATTTCTTTTGTTATTTGGCCAAATTCAAACTGCAATTTTGGCAAAACCAAGAGTCTAGTGATTTATTTACACTAGTCTTGTTTGTTTGCTTAAACAGTGAAAAATATGCGTATTCCTCTACATGTAAACAAGTAAATTAACATTCTTATTTTTCAAGTTAGTAGAACACGTTATTCATTAACCATACATATGGCTTATTAAGATTACTTTTGAAATGTATGGATGGGCCAGCATGTTTTTTTATATACTAATTTTACCTACTGATCTAATCATTCTTAAATATTTAATTAAATATTCCTTTTGCTGACCCAAAATTATCCAAATATATTCCTTTATTATGCCTAGAAACTCATATTGTGGGAAGATCATATTCCTTGAGAGCAGACTTTATAGATTAAATTACGTGTCACGTATGTGAGAAACAGCAATTTTGTTTTAGTATTGTTTTAAGGATAAAAAAAAATCATGGATGCCCTTTTTAAAGTGCACACCAAATTTCTTTAGAGCATATGTAGCCAAATGGCATAGCCCAAGTTACAGAAAAAGTGCAATTGCTATGACACTCAGTGATGTTTAAGGCTGGCTGGTTGGCTGGCAATATGTGCGTTGCAGTTCTACTACAGCTAAAAGAGCTGAAAATTTGACTACCCCTTTTAAAAGGTTATGGAAGCAACCTCTCTATGCATATATCTAGAGGCACAGGGGGAAAGCAAATGCATTTTATTAGTATCGTGGAATCAGGGAATCACCTCGTAATGCTGGGGAGTACTATTTCAGAGGAGGCATTTGAGAGGTGGAAATGACAAATCATTCTCCACTATGGATATGTTTTGATAATTAATTGAATTGATCTTTCAAGCCTCACATCCCCTTCATTAACATTTTGGGGTTCTGTTAGATCAGAGAATAGCAGCTGAACATGGGTATTCGGAAATCATAAGAGAACTTAATGGTAGGTCCTCCGTATCATATTATTAATATCCCATCCCACTACTCCACTAAAGTAATAGGGGAAGAAAAGTGTCCACAGGTTGCATTTCTCTTTAATTTTTCTCGACTTCATAGCCCATAGATTGGAAGATGGCAATAATTATGTCATCCCAATTGCTATAAAAACCTATTTTACAGTGGTGACAGGTGAGTAGTGGTGGCTTACAATCCAACATATTTTAACCATCAATTATCAATTTATATTTTTATCTTTCCATTCCCAACTTGACACACAGTTACATTACCCAGATTGACCAGCACCTGCAAAACACTAATGTAATCCCCCCCATAAGCCCTACAAAGGCTTTTATTCCAATTTAGAGTATTCTTGTCATCAAAAATAGAACTTCTAAACCAAACTGTTAAATTAATATAACTTTCCATTTCATATTGACTCTCATTAGTCATTACAGAGTGAAGGAAGGTGTTCTAGTGCAGTAACTGATTCATCACTAATCATCTGCGAGCATTGGTACTAAATGCCTAAAATCATTGGCAAGCATTTATATAGTACTAAATGCCTAAAATTCCAATATTTAGCATGCGACATGCGAGGCCTGACAAGGTGGGACAGAGGACAATTCCCCTATGGCAACTGGCATTCATGAGTTGTGGGCTAGACCATTATTATTATTAATGGTTTTTATATAGCACCAACTTATTCTGCAATGCTTTACAATATTATAAAGGGGGAAATTTAACAATAATTGAGGCACTTGCTAAATGTTACAGGAACAATAGGTTGATGATGATCATGCTCAAAATGTGATTCTGTAGTTTATAAAAGCAGGAGGTGCATTAGGATATCTAATAGCACAGTACTGAAGGGGCGAATTAGAAGGCGTTTTTTTGCTAACTCAGTACTCAGTATGGTTTATGCAGGGGCTTGTAGCCTGTAATTCAGCAGGACCGTATTAGGCCATTGTGATATTCCTCAAGGGGTTGAAGTATCTTGGTTTGACCCAGTTGCCAGACAGTGAGTATAGATAATATGGAGGTGCTTAAAAGTGACATTCATAACACTTGATGGTTTTTATTGGAAACAGAGTCTAGGTGTTTTAGGCATTCTCAGATTACTGAACGCTCTGTCATGTCAGCTCTCCCCCACTGGCAGAGATCAATAGAATTGCCTGGGAAAAGTTTCTTACTTTTTAAACAGGGACATATTTGTCTGAATTCTACCACTTCTCATCACTGATCATTTTATGAGAATGCAACATAAAATTCATACAGAAGTTTTTTTATCATATAGGGTTAAATCGAGCATGGGAAAAAAGTTCGGAAACTGAACTGTACCTATACATTTACCAGCATTTTGGTTGGAACAAGAAGCCACATAATATCATATCATCCTAATAATATTAATGGCGAAGATGATCCTTATTAGAATGGATTAAAATACTGTCAATTGTTATGCTAAATAGTCTTGTCAGTAGTGTTTGGCGCCGAGGATGAAATATTGGCTGATGTGTTTAACTTAAAAGAAAAAAAAGGAAAATTTAAACATTGCCAAATTAATTTTTGAAATATACTCCGTATGTTGCATTCCCTTGTGCTTTCTCTTTATAAAAAACAATATGTAACATTATACAAAAAAACAAGCAATTATTTGTAGTTTTTTTTTTAATTTAGCTTTGTTTTAGTATGCTTACTGAAATTTCAATTAATCTTAATGAAATAGCCAATATTTTGATCATCCACTGCAGTATATCTAAATTTTCATCTGTCTTTATAAGTTAACTCCTCCTTCCTAGCTTGATAAAATTGGTAACATTATAGCCTAATATATTAATAACAACGAAACAAAAAATACTTGAAAACTATTGAATATTGAATAGATAATTATTAATAATAAACGGAATGTCTGCTACCAAATTAAATTAAAAGAACCTCAATGAAACAGCTTAAACTAATTAGAAAATAACTTGGAGATTCATAATGGTCTGAACTAAATTTGGGTCAATCAAATTCTCTCCTTTTTTCCTACTTTTATTCATTTGATCTGTGAACCAATTGAAGAGAAAATGTTCCTATTAGTGTACTGCAAAAATATATACATATAATATTTTGTATACATTTTCTAATACACTGACCCATTTTCATGCTCTTTTGCTTCATCTGATTCGGTACCTAGCTGAACCGAGCTGAAATTTGGATGTCTCAAATAATTTTCTATTGTTACATTTGCAATTGGTAACAGTGTCATTGCATTTTCGAAATCTCATTCATTCTTTTACAAGTTTTATCCAAATTGCTTTTTAACAACTTGCTAACACGTTTATGAAACTTTACACAAAACATGGGATAAATAGCTGGCACATTAACCTACTTTAAAGAAACATTGTTGTGTATATTCTACTGTTCATAAATGCCTAAAATATACACTTTATAAATTTACATGATTAAACCGTTTAATTTACTTGGTCATCATTTACATAAATTTTGTCTCAATAAAAAAAATTAATTAGTTAATCTTGCAATATTTCACACAGACAGGGTTATTCACCAAAGTGAAAGTTTAGAGTGAATTAAAAGTGAATAAATATCCCATAATGAAATAAGATAAAAGGCATAAAGGAGCATAATTAGGAAATAGTAAATAAAATAAAAGATTCTAGTAATGTGTGTCAAAATTAAGTATCTATAAATTCTCAAAAAGATACATTCCAATCCTGAGATTACATCCGGTAGGTTACAAAATTAAGAAAAAATAAATAAAAATAAAAGAAGAAAATAAGTAAAGAAAAATATAGATTTTATCCATTCTATTTATATATGCCGATTACCCACTGGAATGTTGTTAAAACAAAGCACCTCGAAAAATTAAGAATTTTAAAAAAACAAATATAGATTTTAAAAAAATATAGATTTAGAAAGTGTCCACAAGAATGTAGCAAGAGGGAAGTTCTACTAAACTGTGTACATGGATTATCCCTTTGTACAGTGCTACAGAATCTGATGGCGCTATATAAATAATAAAATAATAATAATGGAGCCCTACAACAAATATTGTCTCAAAAAAAAATAGTTAATTTTACACACAGGGTTATTCACCAAAGTGAGA